CCACCACCACCACCACCACGACCTCCGCCTCCACCACGACCACCGGCATGCCCACCACCACCACCACCACCACCACCACTGCCACCACCACCACCACTACCACCACCACCACCACCACCACCAAAGCCAACACCACGGCCGCCACCACAACTAGGACGTCTTCTTCCAGCCCGGTGCCCTCCACAACAGTGGATTCGGCGTCGGCCAGATTCCAGCCTGCTGAGGGAGGAGTGAATCGGGTTTGTCGTGGGTCCCATCCCAACGACAACAATCCCAGCTACTATTCGGCTGAAGACTCGTCCTCCCTGGAGATGTGCAAGTCCGCATGTCTCGGAAACCCTCTCTGCACTGGCATTGAGTTTTCTGCTGGACGCTGTGAGGTTTGGACAAGGCCGGCTGGCATTGGCACAACGAAGATCGTGGACGGGTTTACTTGCCTCCGCTTTGAGCCTCCCGGCGCCTTTGCTTTCCGAGCTGTGGATGGCGGAGAGAACCGCGCATGTCGCGGAGCAACTCCTGGCGACAACAGCCCGTCCTACATGAAAGTCTTGACAAAGCATCGCCTTTTCGATTGCAAAGAAGCCTGCCTTGAAGATGCCGAATGTCACGGTATCGAATTCTCCCCAGGACGATGCGAGGTGTGGACTCGGGACGGTGGCATCCAGGCCATTGCTTGTTCTTGCTGTCTCCAGCTGTTTGCTTGCGCGACACATGCCAGCAAGTATAGCTTTGTCATTCACAGCCAGTATGGTTTCGTCGATGCAGGCCAGCGTCGTCCTCGAAGGCTTCACCTGCCTGGCCCGACCCTGGACCTTCCAGACTTTTGCACCTGTCAATGGTGAGAACCAGGCATGTCGCGGAGCTACTCCCGCAGACAACTCCGTGACTTATTATGATGTAGTCGGAGACACGTCATTGGACGCCTGCAAGTGGTCCTGTGTGGGTCGAGGCGCTGACTGCAAGGGCATCGAGTTCTCCGCAGGCCGCTGCGAGGTGTGGATTAGGACGCAAGGGATTGCAGCCACCTGGCCCCTCCAGGGCTTCTCCTGCTTACGCTACTCGCCCCAACCTCAATCCTTACTCGCCAAGAAGTCCAAGTCCCGCAAAAAAGCGTTCTTGGGCCCGTCCTTTGTGCAAACGGCCTACGCCTCTGACAAGCAGGCCGAGGTCTTCTCCTTGACGAGTGTTGAGGAGTCATTAAACGAGCTATAACTATGCCAGGTTCATGGCGTAGGTGACTTCTCCGTGGCTGTTCTGGGTCACAAGTCCCCCGAGCCACTGCGGAATGCGCCGAAGCCTGTGCCAAGTGTCCAGAATTTGCGTCAAGTTTTGGGGCGAGGAGGCGGCGCCTCCACAACTTATTCAACTCTATGGAAAGTTGGAGCGATACGCTGCCTTTGGAGATGTTTGGAGACCTCCCTCACATTCCCTCGTCTTTGGCCTGCTGCTGCCGCAGTACAGCAACTCGAGGGGCAGCGGGCCTCAGCCTGAACTATGCGCAGCACGCAGCAGCACATTGTCTTCTATTTTTGTAAAGCGAAGCAGACCGCTACTGCCTCTCACAGGATCGAGACGATATGCACGCCAAGAGGAAAACGACTTTATGAGGGAGAAGATAATGTAAAGATGTGAGCCCCAGCCTCCGTAACAAGAGTCCGGATCCAGCATCAGAGCCACTCACCAGTGTCATGAGTCTAACTTGTGCTTCTGCAGTGTTCGCGGAATTGAAGCCAGAAGTCTCACAGCCCAGGTTAGAGCCGAGCCTTAAAGCCTTTTCAGTTCCTTTGAGCTTTCATCTATATAAGCGAGATCCTGGTTTCATGTTTTCCGGTATGCTTGGACTCTGCAAATGGTCGGGGTTTCTAATGACGTTCTGGGAATTGGATGGTGTAATTACGCGGGGATTCTAAGTATGAGGTTGACATTATTGGAGACAAAATTTGTATGTCGCAAAATTGTTTCAACAATTAGCCATAGGAAATAATGAAATAACATATTATATTTTAATGAAATCTCGATAGAAGATTAAGAACCAGGAGATATAGATGAAATGAGTGAGTTTATAGTTCAAATAGAGATAAGACAATCGGCTTCCTCTATAACATATAATTTATTATAAATTGATTCTCTATATTTAAAGGCTATAACAGATTGAAATAAAGATATAGCCTTCTATTGATTGTATCTCTTGGTTAGGAGTCATATGATATTTTGATTTTGTTCTGATATTATCATTAATTTCTATAATTTGTAGCTTCCATTCAATCATAATTGAATAATATTCATAATATGGATAGATAAGGTCGTCTTATTATAGATTCCAATTATATGAGGATAGCACCCAAATAATATTACTTATGCTTATGGATAGATTTATTTGAGATTTCGTATCGCGCCAAATTATTGGGAAATTTAGTATTTCGTATTACGAGTTTTTCCATTGATTTTGTTTTAAATTCTAGCCTTAACTTCTGATATATTTTTAATTGAATTAAATAAAGGAAGAGAACTAAATACATATTAATTCTAATTAAAATAAACAACGAACCCATGACACCTAATTCTTGGATATTCATCCTATAATTGATTTCCTCTTATAATATCTTTTATAGGTCTTCAAAGATATGAAGTGAACACCGTGTTAAATTTAAATGAAAAAAACAAGGAATAAAAGACGCGTGTTCTTCTTATTTAGACACAACACGGTGAGAATGGAATTAGGAACAAGGATCGTATATTAGTTTAGTTGTGTCTTTGTAGTTGGAATCTTTCTTTATAATTGACCACTTATGACATCTCTTCACATTCCAATTCCATTAAAGAAGTGAAGCGAAAGTTAGCGAAGCGAATCCGTGGGTTGATTCTTTTTCCTTTTATTTCAATGATAGCGTAAGCGAAACGAGAATAAAAAGAAAAGGAAAAATATACGGGTCCTCTCTTTACTATTTGACCTATTTCCCGCATTATAATTCCGACTGGTCTATTAAGGCTACAAGATGGGAATATATTTAAAACCCTGTACGCGTAAGGGCGAAACACAAGGCGATTTTCGAAATATGGGCTGTAATCAGAATAAAGAATAACCTCTATTTATCTATATATATGTATATGTATATAGATATATATATATACGGATATTGGGAAATTTGAAGTATGTTTTTTGATGGTATCTCTTTATTTAATGGTTTCTTCTATATCGCTCCCTTGGAGAATGATTTGGTTTTGAGATTATATATAAAATGACGAGCGATTTGATTGAGAATTTCTTCTAATGATTATATAAATAATAAATATTTTTCTTGAGATAATGGGGATTTTCGTGTAAGAGAAGGACTTTAATGATTAGATTGGGGCTTTGGGCACGGTTTTTAGGAGTATTTCCAGTTCTGGGATCGGACTTGCTTTCGGGATGGAGGCGAGGCTTGAGGTCGGTTAAGAGAGCCTGAAAAATCTTGGAAGTGCGCGGCGAAGCATTACGATTGAATTCTCATGATTGTTGTAGGAAGAATATAGAATCGCAATTATTGGGAAGGTCGTATCGAATAGGAGCAAATGGTCAAATTATAGATATTCGGGTGACGGCGCCTGGAGGCAAATGCCGTGAGTCGTGATATGAGAAATAAGATTGAATTATTGGGGAGTGGCATGATAATTTTGATGAATCTCGTGGAGGAATTGGGAGTGTTTCTTAGGAGAGTTTATGAATCTTGGAATGGTGGGTCGAGGGGATGAGTGAAGGTGGTTGTGCGAGAATGAGATGGAATGGTCGGAGGAAGGAAGGATTCTGGGCGAAAGACGAGAATTTATGGATCGTGGGAATATCGGTAATGATTGTGCTATTGTTGAAAGGTCTGGCTCGAATTATCGGTATATAAATTTTCTGGATTATTAGAAGAAAATTTTATTCTTATAGTATATATTTTCTAATCGAATCTTTTATATAGATTAATAATGAATTTTGAATTGAATAATATTTTATATATTTTTATTTAAGATATTTTATTAATACTAATATTATGAATATTATATTTAATACTTATTAGAAATTATGAATATGAAGAGCTTTAATCTTAAGATGATAAATTTTGCGCTTAAGATCTTAAGCTTGAATTACGTCTTATAAATCGAGGAATTCTATATAGGAGGAATTCGATATTGATCTATATTGGAAAGTCGTTATATTCTATTAGGATTTGATTTTATGGTATTCAGATTATGAAAAAGATTTTCTTTTATTTTAAGACTTCCAATTTTTCTAAGAGAGATATTTGCTCGTCAAAATCGATTTCATATTTCAAAGAAAATATATTATTAGTCGAATCTTGTCTCATAATAGGGATGGAATGAAGGATTTTTCAAAGAAATTTAAATAAAATATGATTCTTTTTCTTGATTGTGGCGGTCAAGAAATCTAGTAGTCAAAATTTATATGAGATGATATATAAAATATGATTATCTAGTAATATATCTATGGCGACCGGGAAATTTATTATTTTATATTTCCAAAATAATAATAATAATATATAATTTTAAGAATTTGATATTTTCTATATAAGATTATATTAATCTCGTCTATTTTCAATGAGTTTCTGAATATAAGATAAGATATATTATTTATCTTCTTTCTGATAAAAAGGAAAAAAATCAAATTCTATCTAGTATGAATATAAATAAATAAATATAAAAGAAATATAGAGAAATTATAATAAGAGGTATATATGATCTAGAGAAATATATATATATATATAGAAATATAAATAGATATTCTAGAATTGATATTTGCAGAGAATTATAAAAAGAAAAATCTTTCAAAGATTAGAGAGTGCTACGGAATATAGGTCCATATTTCTGATTGATAATATGAATTTTCTCGAATCTTTTATACAAATCTAATCTGACATACAAAATAGTCTGAATATCCAGCTCGTAACGAGGCTAAGATCATAACCTCAGAAGATATTTCTGCCGTCCTTATCTAAATTTGTAGATATCATATCATTTCATGATTATTTATATATAGATATAAACTAGTCATAAATATATAAAGAATCGTAAATATCGGAATATTCGCTCTTGTCCTCGAATGCATTCAATCTTGTTGTTACGTATCTTATTTCGATATCTCGATAAATTTGCAGTCGAATTCAGCACAAGAAATATAATATTTTAATTATTTGAAAAGTCGATATTGTCGGAAGATATATGCGCCATTTCTTGGGGATCGCAAAAAATTCGTATTTATATTATTCGGTCGCGAAAGAATCATATTCGTATATCATGATCATTATATATTTCATTCGACGATTGAAAGATGCCTTCGTATATGATCGCATGTCTCATTATTATATCGTCCGCTATATTTGCCCAAATACGATGTGGCTCTTCCTGGTTTTCCTTATTTAGACCGTTATCTTAGGGTATGTTACAAGGGTTCTATAAAATATTCTAAAGGATAGATATCCTAAAAGATATTCTAGAAGATAATCTATCAAAAGAAATATATAAGATTTATATATAAAATATATTATAGAAGAGATTTTCCATAAGATAGTCTAATATAGGATATTCCAGATGATAGTGTTTTGGGCATTCTATAAAATAGTCTTTTGGACATTTCATACAAGATTGTATAAAAAGGAATCTGTAGTCGTTGTTTCGGATGGTATTCTATAGGACAAATGAAATTCTTTAAGATATATCCAGGAGATATCAAGATATTCCAGATGATATATTATAAGGTATTCTATAAAATAGTCTATAGATATTTCATAAAATATTCTTTCAGAAAAGATATTCTAGTTTGTATTTAAGATGATATTCTATAAGATGGATGAAATTTTTTAAAGAATATAGAGACGAAATCTTATTAAGAAATTATAAAACTATCTTCATGAATTCTTGATTTTATTTATGGAGATCTCATATCCAAAAGCTATAATTATTATATAGACGAGCTTCTATAAGATATTCTACTATAAGAAATCCCAGATAAAATTCTAAAAGACATGCTGAAAAATAATTTATAAGAAGTACAAGTATCTTTCTATAAGATATTCGAAAAGATATTTAAGATGATATTCTGTAAATTATAGATAGGTTATATCAGAGAATTTATATGTAATATTCTATAAGAAAATTGAATTATATTGAATTCTAAAGAATATTATAGAAGATATTCTTCAAGATATAAAAAAGCGATATTTTATAAGGTATCTAATTCTTTGTTTATATCTTTTATGAGATAATTTTCGATTTGAAATCTAAATTATATATTTAGAAAATATTTTATAATCTATGTTATTCTTTATATTTTCTTTATTAGATATCTTTCGATTTATTCAAGGAATTCCTAGATCTTAGATTCTTCAATTTTCTTTCATCTGAATTTCTTCTCCAATAATTTTTAGATTTATTATAGAAGCTCAAATCTTGTGCTCCTGCCGATCTTTCTTTTTACCAATATTTTTCCTAGAAAACATTCTACAAGATATTCTGTAGATCTTCTACAAGAGATATATATAGCTATTATGATCCTATCAGCATTATCTTCTAGATCTTGGGCTCCTCCTAATCTCTCCTAAAAATCCTTGTCCATAAGGATTCTTTCAGGCATTCCAAAGAGAATTCTCAAAGGCATATATAAGATATACGAGCAATATCATATAGAAGATTTTCTATAAGGCATTCTATATAATATTCTAGATGGATTTATATATGTTTTATAGAGAAAAGCAAGATATTCTATGGAGAATTCTATTTGTAGGATATTTCATGAGATATCTTATGAAAAGATATTCTATAGAGTATATATTGAGAGAAAAATTCTATAAGATATTTTATATAGGCTAATAGATAGTCCGCAGAAAATTTATAGAGAATATAAAATTGAGATAGAGATCTATGGCGGAAGACCTCTGCTAAAGAGACGATTTAGATGGAGGGGTCGACCAATTCTTTTTTATTTTTTTCTGGCCTCCCGCCTCCTTCTCCTTGTTTTCTTCTCTTCATCATTCCCTGCGAATCTCCGATCCTAAATAATTTCCTTTGTAATATGAAAATATTATTATCTAGTATATTAGCTTATCTAGCGCGTCATTAAGCATGAGAGGTCTCGATATTGCTCTCAGAATATTAGTTAAGATTATGCAGGCATATATCTAAACCTCCAAAATGTAGATCTATATTATATTATTTTCTGAAGATATATATTCAGAAATATAGATATCGGAATATATAAATCTTAAGAATTCAAAGCTATAGATATAGAAAATATATTTTTCTGATCTTTCGAAATCTAGATAGACCGAGCGACCGACCCATCGATCAACTAATGGAATGAAAAATTAGAGAAAAATAGAAATGAAGAGAGAAATATAAAAAGAAAAATATAGAGATAATCAGATAGAGAAAAAAAGATTCAAATAAATGGAGAATATATAATCTTTTAATTTAATCTATCTTAATCATAGTATAATTATCTAAATAAGTTATTTCTTTCATTCATTTCAAATAGAATATCATCTATTTGAATATCTTATTTTTATATTTCAAGTTATATTAATTTGAGTTTCATTATTGTATTTCTCTTTATTTATTTATTTCTATTTAGTTATTAATCCATATCTAGTTCTTTCATTGAATAAATAAATATTTTTCGATCTGAAAAATAATTGAATTATATCGAAATATTATAGGGCAAGAAATTAAAAATCGATCTCTTAAATCGAATCTCGAATTAGAACAAAAAAATCATCTTTTTCTCAAATAGTTTCAAAAATAAAATATCGATATTATTCTAGATAAAGTCAAATAAAAATCTCATCTTTGAGGACGATAAAGAATATAGATACGAATCTAATAAATCTTCTAAATACGACGAATTAAAAAAATAAAATAATATTAGAGAAATAAGAAAAAGCAAAGCATAAAAGGCCCCTATCTCAAAAGAATTAGATTAAGATTATTAGCCTAAGGTTATTTCATAAGTATCAATTAAGAGTCTATTTTTAATTTATAATATATATATATATATATCATATATCTACAGACATATTATCGAAAATATTTTTGCATTTAATAAAATGAGAAATAATCATAATTATAAATTTCTCTTATATATTAAGGTTTGAAATATTTTATTAAGCTATAGTTTCTTCTTAAATCTATATCTTTCTGAAATCTTATTGAATTCAAAATTTATTTATATCGATATTATATATATACTAGAGTGGACCCGCTGCTTCCAGCAGCGGGAGTAAGGCGACGGGAAGCTATTTGTCGCCGCTACACACATAATCATGAGTATCGAATAATATCCTTAATGTTCGCCCGACTCCAAAAGGATACGGATGCTGTTAGCATCGCGTACGCGGCAAAAAGCCTTATATAACTATCTAGGAGTGAATACTAGTCGTGGAAGGTACAGACCACAGCATTACAGTATTTGTCCCGGGACTTTGTTAATTGTCATAGCCCAACTGAATTTCACGGGGAATTGTCGGCAAACTATACGGACGGGTAGAGAAAATTCAGACGGACTTAGCGGGATACACAGGGTATATATGTCCATTATTCGCGTCCCCATCCTACCAAAATAAGAATATCAAGAACCCGTGGCGTGGCGACTATCGCCATAGCCCTTATGCCGTTGTAAAGCCCGACATCATAGACAATATTTCGAAGCAGAATAACGATCGCGTCAGGACCCATAGCCCTTATGCCGTTGTAAAGCCCGACATCATAGGCAATATTTCGAAGCAGAATAACGATCGCGTCAAGACCCAACTATAGAACGGCCGGCGGCAAACCCGCGGAAAATCGATACTATCCAAATATTCCACGGCATACGCTTAGGATACGCTTAGGCTCCATTAACATCTTCGGCAACGACACGCGTATTGTATTCCAATCTAATCAAAGAATCCTCCGAGAAGGTGTTAAGAACACGGACATTAATCGAAATCATTTTTTAAAGGCAATAGACTAATAAGCCGGCAAATAAAGAAACGAGATACAGCCACAAATAGAAATAAATATAAACGAATAGAAATAGAGATTCCCAGACTTAGAATCAAATGCAAACCAATACAGATATAACGACAGAGATAGACCCAAATACGGATACAATAGATATAAAAACAGACAGAGACGCGCAAAACGACAGATAGAGACTAATAAACAATCAGATAAATAGAGCCAAAGACAGAGAGATACAGATAAAGAAGTAGACTAGAGACAGAAAGATAACGAGACAGAGAGAGATAGAGAGACAGAAAAACACACAGAGTGAGAGATACATAGAGAGAGAGAGAGAGAGATAGAGAGCGATAGACAGACAGAGATAAACAGAGAGAGAGAAAGAGAGACAGACAAAGACTAAGACAGAGAGACAGAAAAAGAGAGACAAAGAGAGAGAGAGAGAGAGAGAGAGATTAAGATAGAGAGACAGAGGGAGAGAGAGAGATAGAAAGACAGAGAGACAGAGAGACAAAGAGACAGAGAGAGCGACAACGACAACGACAACGACAATTACAGAGACAGCGACAGCGACAGCGACAGAGACAGCGACAGAGAGAGACAGCGAGAGAGAGAGAGACAGCGAGACAGAGAGACAGAGAGGCAGAGAGGCAGAGAGACAGACAGACAAACGGGCGGACAGACCGACAGACAGACACACAGGCAGAGAAGCAGAAAGAGCGAGACAGCAAGACAGGGAGAGGCAAGAGAGAGAGAGTGAAAGAGGGAGATGAAGAAGGCAAGAGGCAGAGAGAGATAGAGGGAGAAACAGACAGACTGACAAGTGTCATGTGACAAGTGACAAGCGCAAAGGGGTCAGCGGAGGAGGCCGGAAGCCTTCAACATGGATGTGAACTTGCAAGTCTGCATCTGCACGGACAGCTCTCAGTCTCTCAAGCAGTGGCTGACACACACACACAACACCGCAACTTTCATTCAGAGCTGATGCTTCACGATATTGCAATCTTTGGCAGTTGCTGCAGCCGAATCCATGTGAGTAATCAGCTGGCATCGTTGTCATGGGAATCGAAACAGCAAACCCAGAGACGACCACCAAAGTCTGCCAGAGGTGCTCCGAAAGAAGGAGCGCAGCACTGCATACCACTGTGGAATGCCTCAGCTTCAGTGTCAGAACTTCCGAGCAGCATGCAGGCATGCAGGTGGGGGTGGGACCGGCAGCAGTCACCTACACCTACAGAATATGGACAAACTACACCCAGCTCCAACTTTAGCTTGTAGCACTTTAGCACTCAAAAGTCCTATGTGAGCTACTACATTCCCTGGGGACCGAAACCAGAGTAACCAAAGCTCGGAGTCGGAATCTGCTTCAGTAACAGCCACAGGGCCACAGCCGAGAACCCAATGAGAGTGCAGTTTATATGTCTGCTTGTTACAGACAGTCGACAGGAATGTACTGCAGCAATCACAACGAATATTGAACACCAGTTGTCACACCGGTCCCTAGCCTGTCTCATACAATTTCTGTGTATTCAACCCAAGAATCTTGCTGACTAGCTGCTCGGAGACCATTCTCCAGTGAGGGCAGATCTGAAGGAGCCTCAAATCAGAAGATTCTTCCGACTTGCGACACAAAGCTACCAGGGGAAGCTGGCATCTGCATCGGGCTAGACATCTCACAGACACTCACACCTACGACCGTCTACGACCTACACGTTCTAGACTCAGGTGCCCAAATACTACATCGTATCAAATTATCAAATTCAAGAAACTGGACGAGTGCTCTGCGCCAGCATGGGTGGCCACAAATTGCAATCAGCCGCCACGAATCTTCAACATCCAAGAACCGCCATGATAAGCCCAATAGTAGCCACGGGGTGGGGGTAAATTGGGCCCAATGTACCCATGAAGTAATGCCGTTTGAAGTGAAGACGGAACACCGTATGATGTTGATGATGTCAGCTTGTTCCTGTGTCGCTGTGCTAGCGTTGTTACAGGAACGCCGCCTGATGCAGCCAATGACTGCATGTCCCGGTGGATGTGTCTGGGCACAGTGCCTGCGCCTCCGAGCAAGTTTGAAGTCTTCTTGCTTTTCTTGTCTGGCTCGCAAAAGGGAGCCACAACCTCGGAGTCCTCCGATGTAGCCAAGATACTGTCCAGCTCATTTTCGCTATGCAGAGTTCCTTGCTTCAAGGCTTCTTGGAGCAAATCGCGACTCGATCTGTCCATGTGTTCCTCCCTGGTTGACAAGCTATGACCTAATAGGACCCAGGCCTTGAGTATCCTTCGGCAATTTTCTGCCGACCCTGCAACGCTCACACTCATCTCGCGCGTGCATTTGGCAGTCGTGTTGTGTGCAGCCACACAGCATGTCATCTGATAACCAGCAAGAACAGAATCCTTGAACCGGGGAACCAAATGGTGCAACCCATACTCCAAACGATTGGACTTGTCACGTGTCCCGGCAGCAATGACATCTGGACGGGTTGCAGGCTTGGCTTTACCCTTTGCCCTAGACTTCGGCTTCGGGCCGGAAGGGCCCGCTTTGCGTTTGGCGGCTGGCTTTTCGCCACCACTGTCAGAGCCCCCGGAAGAACTAGAACCTGAACCGGAATCGGAACTGGAACTACTAGAAGAACTGGAGCTGGAGGATGAACTGCTGTCACCGGCAGCAGCATCACCACCGACCACTCCCTCAGCACTTCCTGGCTCACCGTCACCCTCCAGCATCACAGCTCGAAGCTCCTGCAGTAGCTCATCTGACGAAATTTCCGAAGCCTGGGAGCCATGATCTTCCAAGGCATCCTCGACAACATCGACAACCTCAGATGCACGCAAGGCACCATCGACGTCATTGCCATCATCACCTGCCGCATTCGCTGCATCATCCAACGCAGGAGCTGACTCAATGGCTGCAAGAGCAAGAGGTTGCTTGCGCCTGCCTCGCTTCGGAGCCGGCCCTTTCTTTCTAGACCTCTTGGCTTTTGGCTTGGCTTGAGGCTCGAGGATATCCCAATCATCCAGATCCATGAGGACCTGCATGTGAGAACTCTTTCGCTTGCGAGCCTTTCTCTGCCTGTCTTCCAACACTGCTAGCTCATGAGGATCCACAATTCGGAGATAATCAGCAAGTGTTTGAAAGTGGGCTACATCGCAGTGATGATCGTCAGCTGTCAGAAGAGCCCTCACATAGGCTCGCAAACGTGAGTTGTGAGGATCAGAAATATCGGCCAACGAGAGCCACCAACGCTTCTGCTCACCCGGGCGGTACGGCATATTGGAAGCTTCTGTCCTGCGGCAGTGGGGGGCAGGGAAGTTTTGAAGACGAAGAAAACACGTCGGTGGGATTGGGAGGCTTAGCCCGGATCTTTAAAATGTTTCGCGGTAGGCCCAGCACATCATCTAACCCGAAACCCCCAACACCACTGCGTAAAACTGTAAACCTAACATGCAGCTTGGGGCCTCGGTTTTCAGTTCCCTTCGTTTTGGGGCTTCAGGCTCTGAGGCTCTGAGGTCTCGCGCTAAGACTTTAGCATCCTGTTTAAGGGTTGGTTGTAAATAAAACTCAGGATCTAGAATCTACACAACTACACAATATTCGCCAACCCAGTCAGGAGGGCAGTTGTGCGTGCCACCATGCATTCCCACCCCTCGTTGCACAACTTCTCCACAAGCTCAAACATGGAACAGTCAGCTAGCTCCAGCTGCTCCCGCACCGTCATCAGAGGAGCAGGTGCCACTGCCAGCACATGGCTGGTGCCCTCATCTTTGTTTACTTGCACATCAGCAGTTGACTCCTTCCATATCTTGAAAGAGCGTAGTTGAGGCAACGTCAAGGATGACAAAGACAACACCATGGGAAAAGCCTCAAGGTCAGATGCTCTGACAACATCGGACTGCAATTTCATTCCAGAGGTTTCGATCTTGAACGATTGAGCTGCCTCACCTGGTCCATCATTCCTGAGCAGCAAAATTCCAACATCATTTGATTGAAAATCTCCAGGCGCTGCTAGCTTGGCTCTGGACAAGCCACAGCTCACAATGCGGAAGAACACGACATCTTCAACACTGTCACTAGCAGCAGCTGAAACCAAAGCGTCCTCAAGTCGTGGTGCAGCCTCATCGGCTGGGATTTCCTCTGGCCGGCGCTGAGCATACTTGGCAGGTGCCAGCCATTCAAGCAACAGTTTCAAAGCGACTGCCGGAATCTGGCAGGAACACAGCGCACGCTGCTCAGCATCTTTGCACAGGGTTTCCAGCTGCTTCTTCAAATGTCGCAATGCCAGAACATGTTGTATCTCAAGCAGTTCAGGCGCGAAGTCTGCTTCAGACTCCCTGCGGTCCAACAAGGGAACATGCCGGTCGTGGGCACGCACTGGCTCCTTCGAGACATAAAGCACTGGCTGGTGACGGTTGTACAAAGAATAAGGATCTGCATGATATACAACTTTTCGGTAGATGCGGTCCCATCCATGTTTCGCAAGTGCACAGGCTGGGTGTCTTGACAAGCCAAGACGAGCTATCAGCTTCTGCGGGTTCCTGGCAATTTGAATGCATTCGAGGAAGGAAGTCGTATCCTCCGATGTCAGAACCTTTTTGATTTCTGCCAGTCGAAGTGCCAAGGAATCTGTTGCTTCTGTGCGATTGCGTCTTCCGGCTGCATACATGTGCACTTGTGCATGCCCGCCCTCCACCTTGCGCTCCGTGCCCCATGCAAAGCGAAAACTTGCCACAAACAGCTCCAAATTCTCAAGCAATGAAAGGTCCTCCCCTTGGATGAATAGGTCTGCCTCCTCTCGCAAAGACCCCTCGGACAGCTCTACAATTTGTGGATGCCGGCACTGGGAATCCAAGCAGCGTTGCATAACTTCTCTCGGGGTGTCTGGGTTCTCGGGGTCATGATGGCCTAATCCAAGTAGGAGAAGTGGTGGTTGCAGAAAACATGACAGCTTCAATGTCAGCTGAAAAGTTAAATGTCCTCGACCATGCTCAAAGTCCAAAAGACAAGCGGCACGACACTCTTGAGGCAGACTCTCTGGCAAATCAACATACAGTTGAGCAGCATTTGCCAAACAAAGTCGATTCACAACCTCGAAGAAACCTCCACAGGCAATTTCTGGCAGCCGCCGACCTCGTAGAGGGCAAGACATCCATCGCTTCTGGACTGCCGGCCTGTCTGGCGGAGGTTTTCTCTTGTAATGGCATGGACAAGATTCCAACCAGTCGAACAACTCCCGGACTACTGAAAACAGTCGCTCCAGTGTCTGCAGCTGCGCCCAGAACTCGGCACTTTCAATCGTTTCATGTATGGCTTCAAGCTTCACAGTGGGCCCTTGCTCTCCGATCTGCGGCTGCTGCTGCACATTGTCTGAGAAGTGATTGAAGGCACGCAGATTCCAATAGCGCCGAAGTGGCACTTGCAACTGGAGAATCTCTGGTATGGCGAAAGCCACTGAACCCCACCTGCCTTCATTGACTTTTGCATGAAACCTGTTGAAGTCGGGGGCGAACATTCTGCTGATTGGAGTTGCGAAGCATGTCTCTAGAAGTCGCTGCTTGTACGTCTTGCTTGACAGGAACCTGGAAAGCGCCACCAGTTTAGGCAAAGCTTGGCCCAAGTATGGAAGCTGTTTCAGCAACAGACTTGAAGCGTTATGCAAGATATGCAATGGCCCCGGTATCGACAGCATGCCTTGCAAAGAAATCTCTACATCTTCTTCTGCCTCAGGCAACACATCGAAGCCATCTTCACCCAGAGCATCCCCGCCGCGCAATGTCTTGTCTTCTGCATGTTCGCAAGAAGCATACCACGGAAAAAGTCTAAGAAAAGGTGCAGGCATAATCGTGTTCAGCGAAAATTCAACACCCAAATCGAAAGTTCCGCAACAGACTTCCTGAGAAAAAGCCCGAAGACCCTCTGCAGAATATCCCGCTTCTAGCATCATGGCATACATAACCGACATAAATTTGTCTTGCAACGATGTGCGTCCCGACCCAAGCGCCATCAGAGGCAAATGATGTTCAGAAATACTGTCGTTCAGATCTGCCATGATGCTCTCCTCGGCTTGTAGAGCCGCGCTGTCGTCATCGTTCACTGCATTCCTGGGCGCACACGCAGGCGGTAGGAGTGCAACATAATGGTTTAGGGTTTAGGGTTTAGGGTTGGTATGATCACACAGCCTTTCCGATTCCCATACTAGAGCATATGTCGGACCACAAGAAGATTATAAGGAAGACGGAAGACACAACAACTGCACACATTCAGTCTCTAGTCTCTCGCAGGCTTGTCGAGACCCCTAACTGCAAATCCGAACTCACCTGAATGAATGAAGCCTAGACACCAATGGTCCAGGAGAGAGCGCACGCCACGATACAAACGTGCGAGGTCGGCCTTCCTAATGTTGGCCAGCATGATATGCTCAAACTCTCTGCCGTGCTGCGTGGACGCATCTGCCATCAAGAACCGGCAAACACCACCTGTGCAGCCTGTGCCGCTGCTGGCAGTCTCAGAATGCAAGCTCTGATTCAAACGACGCTGTAGCAACATGAAGCCGCCATCAAGCAGCAGTTTCCAGCGAGAAATCGTGCTGGCATGAGGTATGCAACCCTTGCAAGTGTCCAACATGTTTTTGAAGGGGGCATGCAAAACTTCAGGCAAAATCATGGCCGCTGCCTGCCTCAACACTTCAAGCATGGAAGAAGAATTCTGCAGCAGGCTTGCCATGGTTACAGCTTTAACCAAAAAGGCGGCTTGATAAGGCCTTCTGCTAGATGCCCAAAGAGCATTGCCCTTGCCTGTCATCTCTCGCGCTGATCGCGCGAAGGCACTCGGATCGAGACCCTCCAGCAATGCTTGGAAAGCAGCGACGCAACGTTGAACTGCATCGTACTCTACATCGTCAAAGATGCTCGTTTCTTGCAAGACAGACGACCCATAGCTCTGCAGCATGTCAATGGCGGAATCCAACACAGACGTGGATAAGTCTATACAATGCTTGTCATCTGGAAAAGAACGAACATAGTCCGGAACAGTTGGCACATCAGCAGGACTGCAGCCGAGAAAATCCCAGCCCACTGTGACGCCTGATGTGCCCTCTCCTTTCTTGCTTGGCAAATGAGGCAGCAGAATTGTTCCCCATGTTTTGCTCAGCACTTTTTTGATGTAAGGTTCTGCTGCACGCAGAACAAGCTTCGGGGGCTCAGTCCCGACCCACACATTCTCACTCTCATTGATTGCGGAGCCCAGTGCGCTCCAGAGTCGTGGGCCTTGCTCCAACTCCAGCTGGGCGATGAAAGATCGAAAACGTGACTCCCCAAACTGTTGGACATCAGCAGGTTCAGGTAAAGGAATGACTTCTTCAATGTCGAAAAGGAAAGCCTCACCATGCAAAGATTTACCCGTCACCTGCTGCCAAAACTTCAATTGACGCTTTGCTTCTGCAGGGATCTTAAGCATTGCATGATAAATCCTGATCTCGCTTACACGAACAAGCGCCCACACTTTCGCACCACATGCGACGTCATCATCAGCAGCATCATCTGGCTCCGAAGCTGCTTCGCGAGAAACAACAATTCTATGCTTCTGATGCTTCAAAGTATGCAGAGACACGAGCCACACCAACAGAGGCAGAGGCAACGCCATGGCCCTGGCTTTGAGGGCTTCGAAAAGCTAGCTTGAACTATGCAGTGACTTTAATGATCGCAGGTTTTTGGAGAATGCATAACTTCTGGGGGCATATGTTCGGGTCTTTAGGAGTTTTGGCCTGAAGTTGATGAGGAACATTTAAGCAGCTAGAAGTTTAGGGTTTAGGGCGTTTAGGGAGTTTAGGGCCAAACATATCGACCGACGAGCTGTCATGCTGCCAGCATGATCATCAGCTGATAGCAACGGCGCGCCATAGAAGATCTTGGACATGGTACACCAAACTTGACCTACAGACTACAGTCCATTCCAATCCGGAACCCCAGCAAACTTTCAGCAAACGAAAAATATTTCCTACACAGAAAAACAAAACTTTCAGAAAATTCAGAAATACACACAAAAATTTTCCTGAGTTTCACACGCAAGCTACATCGGCAAGCCAAGAAAAGAAAACCAAGGCACGCATGTAAATCTCAGAAAAAATGACCCGAAGACAGGTCACAAGGCTTGTTTACAGGCAGCCCCACCGAAATCCGGTCAGAGAGTGTGCACATGGTGCCGCTACAGGAGGCAAAGGGCTTCTGTGCAAGTTAGCACCCCTGCGTGCCAGGCTTCTTGGGGATCATTTGTGCCTGATGAGGGGGTTTCGTTGTCGCCGCTTCATCCCACGGCACCGCCTCTCAGGCTTCCGGGTCGATTTGCTCCGCTGGATTTGCGAGCCGAGCCTGAAGAGCCTGACTGCCACCCTGGACTTTTGGCTGCACTCCTCGAGCTCGATGTCGGCGATGAATCAGCTGCCTGGGAGGTTGTGGCTGATTTTGTCGCCCCCCTTGAACACCTCCGGTGCACTGTCCGAGCCTGGTGCGCCCATGCCGAGGCACAGCCTTTCGCCTCAGAGGTGGCTACCAACCTTTTGTTGCTTCTCGATCCCGATTTATGCTGTGATTCTTTCCCGCAGCCGCGTCCCAAGCCTGCTGTTGTGGACTTTCTTGCCCCTTTCCCTTCGCTGCGGGGACTGGCTTTGCCCGTTGCTCAAACAGGTGCTCTGACCTTCTGCGACCTTGATCCTCCACCCTTGCCTAGCTTCGTGTTTCCCTTCGATGGCAGTGTTCCCTTGGCCGCTGCCTCTCGACACGTTGCCTGGCTGGAGGCGACCACTGACGTCGTCCTCCAAGCGGTGCAGATGTCCTTTGAGCACCCTGTTAGCATTCGGGCGCCACCTGCCGCGCTCCGATGTCTCGAACCCTTGACCTCCTGGCTACGAGACGGGGGCTTCCTTTCTACGGCTGATGGCCTCGCGTCCTTTCATCGCTGAGGCCTCGTCGCGGGTGTTTCACCAGAATTCATTTGCTAGAGGTGCGTCGTACTTCGACCCAAACCTGCCGGAAGAAGAAGAGAGAGAGAGAGATATATATATATAAGTAGGTACGCAGGCAGGCAAGCAGGCATGCAGGCAGGTAGGCAGGTAGGTAGGTAGGCAGATCGGTAGATATGTAGACACAGAGTCTTATGTATTCACATGAATCTGCATATGCATACATGTAAGGCGGGAGGATCCCTGAGGCCTGTAGAACGTTACACCCCTCCAGTTGGAAACACGGCACCTTCTAGGGCTAGGGTTTAGGGTTCTCTGAATTCTTCATCGTTGATATCTTTTGATCCAACTTACTTACGAAGTACCATGAATCTGTAAGTACCCTTCAGAAGGAGACTTTACTTTACTTGTAGAGCCCTCACAAGGAACCTTGAGATGGGCCAGGCCAGCATTCACGGGTCCTATTTAGGGTTTAGGGTTTAGGATTTAGGGTTTAGGATTTAGGGTTCAGGGTTTAGGATTTAGGGTTTAGGGCCGCCCCGCCCGAGCGAACAGGAGCGAACACAGCGAGCCCTGGCACATCCCCCCCTCCCTCCAGCGACACTTCTCCCTCACATGGGGTTGAAAGAAAAGAGGGATTAGCGACAACTTCTATAATGAGAAGGAAGCGGCGTGCCAAGCTGGCGGGGGTGATGCACTATTTTTGTTGAAGAGGAGCTGGGGGGGGAAACCCTAAACCCTGAACCCTAAACCCTGAACCCTAAATCCTGGGGGAACAGGGAACCCGGAACACAAGAACTCAACAGGAAACCTTAAACCGTTAAACCCCTTAACCCGTAGGCGAACCCTTCCAGGAAGCCCTCAAACCTAAAAGAAACAAAGCAAGCCTAAAACCCTAAACCCTAAAAGACCCTAACAAAAATAAAACAAAACCCCAAAACCCTAAACCCTAAACGACCCTAAAAGAAACCCTAAAAGAAACAAAGAACATTGACATCTGAGCTTTGAGTGCTCGACCTGCGAGGCCGCCGCCGACCACGATCACCTGACAACCCACAGGCCCTATCCGGTTTGGGGCTTTAGGGAACTATAAGGGTTCCTTTAAAGGGATCTATAAGAGATCTTTAAGGGTTTAGGGTTTTGGGGTTTAGGGTTTAGGGGTTAGGGCTTAATGGTTTAGGGTTCCTTTAAAAGGAACTATAAGGGCATCTATAAGGGGTACTGGAGGGGTTTAGGGTTTAAGGTTTAGGGTTTAGGGTTTAAGGCGGTTTAAGGGTTTAGGGTTTAGGGTTTAGGGCTTAAGGGTTTAAGGGGTTTCGGTCTTGGGGTTTGCAGTCTGGGGTTTAGGGTTTATAGGGCTTATAGCTAGGGTTTATGGGTTTATAGGGCTTATAAGGCTTATAGGGTTTATAGGGCTTAGGGTTCAGGGTTTCAGGGTTTCAGGACTTAGGATTTACGGCTTGAGGACATTGGGTGGTTGCTTTTGAAACCCTAGGGTTTAGGGTTTAGGCACCTGGACTCTGCTGTGCTTTGGGCATCGAATTTGTCATTAGCCTAAGGATTGGGGTTTAGATCTAGAGTTTAGGGTAATGTTATGTTAGTTCAAAGTTTCGTGAAATAGATCCTGCCATCGTGCCTGCAAGTAACATGTTGCGTTTAATGCAAGATTTACGGAAAGCCTGCAGCCTTGTACAGCCAAAGTTAAAACCGTACACTACTACAAGCTTGTAATAACAGCCTACCTGATCCCGCTCTAACACTCAAACCCTATTAACCATAAACCTTAAAGCCATAAAACCACATTTTGCCCCTACAAACCCTACAGCCAGAACTATGTATCCTGCCATTACAAATCCTAAACCTCAAGCCGTAAGAAACCCTAAACTCAAAACTCTGAACCAACAACATGTGGGGGGTTTGGGTTTAGGGACTTGCACACCGCTCAAACCCTCAAAGCAAATTTCATCAGGCCCTACACAGCCCCTCGAACTCCCAAAGTACACCCCTGAATAACCCAAACCCTGAACCCCAAAGCCAACTCCCTGATAGATCTTTTTACGGATATCATATAAAACGTAACCTATGTTTTGTAACATCAACGCCGCTATGTATAGTACTCAACCGGACAACATAAGATGTATGCAAGCGTAAAAGGAACCCTAAAACCCAAAACCCAAGACCCTAAACCCAAAACCCTAAACCCTAAACCCCAAACCCAAAACCCTAAACCCTAAACCCAAAAAAGGCACTCTTGGAGGATAACCCTTCGGGAGCCTGGTTGGCTGGGAAGACTGCAGCCATGGCGTCGGAGTCTCGAAGAGAAGGAATCGTACAGCTTGATGCTAAAAAGGGCTGAGGCGTTTAGGGCTTAGGGTTTAGGGTTTATAAGGGTTTAGGGTTCAGCTGGGTTTAGGGCTTTGGGGTATTTAAGGCTTTAGGGTTTTGGGGTAATAAGGGTTCTACAGTTTAGGGTTTAGCTTGATGCTGAGAGGGCTCTGGG